TCCTGGTCGGCACCGAACATTCAGTGGAAATCCACAGAGCATCTCCAACCCTGAAGATGGGTGTCCTGTTCAGGTACTGAATTGATTCTGTCACGTTGCTCACATGATCTTTGACTTATGAACCCATTCAAATGTCGCCTTATCAGTTCAGCTTGCACGGCATTGATAGGTTATCGGATTTTAGGTAAAAATAGCGAAAAGTGATGATGATATGGAAGGCGGCATGGCGCCGACAGTTCAATTCAGGGAAACCAATGAGTATCCAGTTGTGTTCAAATGGCATTGCTCGGCTACTAGGTTTGTGTTTCAGTATCTCAGCTCGTTGTTCGACCTTCTGGAGTGTTCTTCACTCTCATCCTGTCTCTCCCTGTGTTGATCCCCACATGATTTACCTTTGAAGCTCTCTCTCATCCTACTATGTTTCCGCCTCCATTTTTACTCTCTTACCTGGATGGCGATTAGAAGGCAAACCTCGCACTAGTCCCGCGCTCATCCTTAACTATTAGTCTGCAACAGTAATCAATCAATGAACAAATTGGTTGAATAAGTTGAGTATTAGCTGCGCTAAGAACTTCACCAGTAAACTTTTTGAGCTTTTATTGTCTTTGTTTGCATTCAAGTTGAGAGTTTACTAAATTTATCCAAAACTGAACGCAGTGTGCTCGCTTTTAACCCCACATAAGATTGTTAAGACACCTTCATTGATAGGCGTTCATGCGAAATGACCTTCTTCAGAGCCTGAAGGGATGAGAGCAAAGTTCATGACCACCTGGCTAGCCGTCTCTGTGCTGAAGTCCGAGATCAGTGCAGATCGTCACATAATCCCTATGGGCACCATTATATTATTTGATCTTCGGAAAAGCGGCCAAGGGACTGTTCGGCTTGATCCTGATTCAGGACAGAGCACTTCCTGCCCTTGAGGGAAATTTCTGCATAATATGAGCTACATCCCCAAATTTCCTCCTCTGGTGGAGTCCTCTTCTCATCCCCCAACCTACTTACTATCCATTCTTGTACTTACTTTGCACAATTTTCCAATTCCCATTTTTCTGTGTTACCAATCTTCCGGACATTTTTCGAAAGTTACTCCTGTCTTCCCCTGAACACTACCTTAAGGGGGGGG